ATGTATGTTACGCGATAACTCCGCCTTTTGTAAACCGATTTTGATGATTCTTTTTTTTGAAAGAGGGTACCTCAGAAGTGGTCCCATTTAAATTTGAAGAAAATATTCGACCTCTAAGGGTGGTAAACTAGGGGATGAATGATTTTTGAGGTCGGTTTTTTAGTACTCTGTACTGATTTGGATATATGTTACGCGATTATTCCGGACGATTACGCGATTAATTTGAGAACGGATTTTATTCACAACACCCGAATCGAACGTCAAACTGTCGTATTCGAAACCGAACCGAAATGACGTCACTCCCGTACGATTACTCGAACTTCTCAACCGGCTAAGGGCGTATTTATTCGACACGAATTTCATCGCGCTCACCCCGCGCGGTCGCCGAGCGATAGACGACCGCGCGGTAGATTTCTTTAGAAGAATTTAAATGTTATTGCCTAGTAAATAGAATTCAGATTCGTCATTAATGTACTAATAATAATAATGTAATATCCAATCCAATAATTCTTTTAAAATTTCGAGATGTTCTGAATCGGGGTCCTGAGCTAAAAAATGTCTGACGTAGCTTTTATCATCAATACAGACATTAATTAAGATCACTTTACATTTTTGCCACAAAAGTATGTGAAAGCATGTGGTAATGCAATTTTACTGCATATTCATCTAATGGAACACCTTTCACTATTCTCAAAGCAATTTGTATATTTTTGGGTCAGTCTCTTCTTCCAACTGTACCAATTTGCACTCAACAATGTTTTAGCGTATTGTACAAGATGTCATATTTCAATAACAATATTTATAATTTCAATGCTTGAAGATTGTGCCTTGCCAGTATTCAGTATCACATACCTATCAAAGGAAGAGCAACTGCCTGCGTTGGATAAAGAGGTGCAAAAGGACTTGGCCTTGGATACACAGCTAGACAACCACAAATTATACTCAAAATCACGAGAGAAATAAATGCAAGCCATACAAATATATCTCCCGGCCTGTGAAACAAGGGAACTCAGGCGTAGCCGTCCAGCATGGTAACCACTCGGCCACAGGGGCAGTTAAAGACTATAGTCTCTATAAGAGGATGAGTAATTAATTTTATTTGTTATGTTCTTATGCTCCATTCTGTTACAAGCTATAGCAGAATAACAGCAAGCGACGTGTATTTGTACAGTCCTCAGATGCTGAGTCATAGACCATTTTGAAGTACTTCATAACATTCATTACTCTATATTACAATACTTATAATAATAATATAATAATAAAAATCTTTATTTCAGACCATAAGTCCATAAGTGTTAGTATCATATAAAAAGAAAATCTTAAGCACTATTGTTAGCAAAAAATAAAAATGTACAAATAAAATAACAAACTAAACTAAAAAACCTCCAACGTTAGACATGTAGTGACGACCACCGGGCGACCATTGGTCCGTCCCAGTGGTCGGCGAACGCGGACAGGATGGTGTTGGGGCTGGCACGGATGCGGGCTTCGAGGGAGGCGCACCTCTTCCTCATGACAGCCGCAAAGCCGTCCGTCCGCGCCTCGGCAAACATGCCGGACGCGCTGCACCTCCGCGGCAGCCCCAACAACACCCGGAACGCGTTGTTATACTGTACGCGGAGTACGTCGTACGCCTTCTGCGTATAGTTCACCCAAAGGGCGCACGAGTAAAAGGAGACGCAAAACGCTTTGAAGAGCGTTATTTTTACGTCTCTCGTACACCGCGCGAACCTGCGGGCCAACATATTGCATCGGACTGCCAACGATCTCCGCTCCCGCTCGATGTCTTCGTTGTCACAGAGGTTTTCGGTGACCCAGTGACCCAAGTACTTAAATTTAGTGACTGTCTTCAAAGGAGCGCCAGAGAGAGTGAGTGGTGGTACATTATAAGTTTTCGTACCAGCCTTAAAAACCATCAGCTCACTTTTACTAACATTGTACTTGGTCCATGGACCACCGCATACCGTTCACAAATCTGCAAAAGACGCTTGAGAGCACCGATCGAGGGGCTCAACAAGACCATATCGTCTGCGTAGCTGATGTTATTCACGCAAATGCCATCAACGTGACACCCAATTTTAGTTTTGTTGAGCTCCTCGATCAGCTCATTCATATAAAAGTTGAAGAGCCGAGGTGAGGTTAACCCCCCCTGCCTCACTCCGCACTCCAACCCGTACTCGCCTGAAAACGAACCGGACCATCTCACACTGTTTTTCTGGTGGCTGTACCAAAACCTTAAGAGGGATGTGATCTCATAAGGCATGGTCGACTGTTGTTCGATCTTATCCCACAGCACGTCATAAGATACTAGATCGAACGCTCTGGACAAGTCGAGGTAGCACGCGAAAACCGGTGTTCTTCCAGCTGTATAATACTGGACAGTGCGCTTCAGGCACATGATGGCACTCTCCGTAGACAATCCAGACCTGAAGCCAAACTGCGCGTCATTCAAACGGAGGTGCCCCTTCAAATAACCATCCAGCACACTGTCCAGCACCTTGGCTACAATGGTAGCTAATGAAATCGGCCTATAGTTGGACAGCTCAGAAAAATCACCGGTCTTATTCTTCACAATTGGGACCACAACAGTACGCATGAGATCGTCCGGTAAGTAACAGTGGCCCATACACAGGGTGTAAAACATTGAAAGAACCCTGGGCAAGTGAACACCTGCATGCAGCAGATGTTCAATGCTGAGACCATCGTGCCCCGGTGACTTACCCCTAACCATGGTTTTTATTATAGAAGCCACCTGTTTTGCAGTTATAGTTAAGGTAGTCTCAGATATGGCCCCAGCATTAAACACGAGACGAGACTTCTTACTTATACTTATAATATAAGACTTATACTTTTGTATAATTTACTAGTTACAATACATTTCGTGAGTTTGACCCTGATATTTGGATTGTCACGTAAAACGATGGACCCATATCCACACAAAACTTGACTTAGTAACAATACCTCTTGTGAACGTAAAGGCAAACGTGGTATAGTGCATCAGGCTGGCGTCCGCCATGCAACATCTTGGTGCTTATTTTGCATGTGGAAAAGGAAAATATAATGACGAAACATTCACAACTTTTAGAAAATGTGTGCAGCCCCAACCTTTATTGAGCTAGTGTGGCTGAACCTGCATGGCCTAAACTCTATTTCTAGAGGAGTCATATAATAAAGGGTTGAAAATGGTGATGAGTTCTCTCCTTAGATGAGTCCTTCATTTTTAAAGATGTTGTATTATGTCTGATTTTATTTTTTATTTTTCTCAAGTACTTGTAAATTTAGCACTATAAAATATTCTAAAAATATCCTATTGTGACTTAAAATTTAGTTCTTAAGTAAATAGAGCTGAAAAAAAGAACCTAACATAGAGGGAAAAATACAATAATTATATGATTACAACATGTTTTGTAACATTTATTATTAATGTAAATTCTCTGAGTATATGTATACAATAATATACAATACACAAATAAATGCTTGTGGTAATGAAATAAAACTGAGAAATAAATAACATTTGTGTATAAATATGTAAAAGCATTTTTTAGTTTTTTATCAATTTGTCAATGCTGAATCAGTTTAAATTAGTTGGCTAAAACTTTATATTATGCTTTATTAAAAATTATATGTATAGCAACAAGGATATAAAAACATATTTTTGAGGCAAAGAGACATAAATTATGTGTTTTACATCCTTATTAACATGGATTTTTATTTAATATTTTATTTGTGATCAGCTCCCAAGCTATAAGCGAACATACCTTCCAACTACAATACATGACCTCGCTTAAGCCGCTTCACCGTAGTTAATGGATCCAAAATTTCCAAGATGAGTGGGTTCAGATAACAGGATAAATGTTCAGTTTTATTTATTTTATCAAGTGAAGGGACGAACAAGTTGTGCACCTGATGGTAAGCTACACACCTATCCATAACAGTTACAGTGCACTCAGAGCTTTAAATTTCAAAGATCTGAGGGGCCATATTACTGCGCCCATTCACCCTGAGACATAAGTTGACAAGTCCCATGTGCCTGTAATTTCACCAGGACCATTACACTTCCAAACTGGGACACAGTAATGCTGACATTACTGCTTGGCGGCCGAAATACCTAAGGTGGCAGTACAACCTTAGACAAACTCTTTAACAAAGAGCCCTACTGCTACTAAAAGTTTGGGTGTTTTATGTCGATCCATCTCTATAGCTACTGATGGCACTTCTTAGTGGTTATGGGTCTCGTCATTCCGAATGAATCAAGGGGCAGTGACTTCATTAGAACAGGTTGAAACTTTTTAAAATTGAATTAAAGCCAATTCCACATCAAGTAGACCAATGGAACCAAAAGAAACATTTCAAGTTCTTAAGTTTCAAGATTACTAAGTTAAATACTGTCAAGAAAAAATTGTAAAGATAAGAAGATGTATGATGTTGATGTTGTGTTGAATAAAAAAATTTTGAATAAAATGTGCTTTACGCATAACTAATTCAAAATGTTTATGGTACATAAAGCAGAGTTTTCATTATACAAGAATGCTTCAACTGAGTACACTCGAATATAAGCTTGGACACTACTTGTAGCATGTGAACAAGTAATCCGAGCGCACTTGGACATCGGAATCCAATCAACATGCTACAGGTAACGTACGAGATCCGAGCATACACATATAATGAACACCTGGCTTAAATAGGAATTGGAATAATAGAAATAGTAAACAAATTTACGTTTTCAAGTATAAATTTATTTTACCTATGGAATAAATTATTTTTTGACTAGGCCTGAGTGAAAAATAGAAAAATCTATTCCAATTACTTAGTTCAAAACTAGAATATGAAATTGAAAATCCAAGATCATGAAATAGATTTTTTTTTAATTTAGTTCCGATTTTTCTCATCAGCTCATGTATAATAAACAAATCGTCGTCATCTTTTCAGTCTCAGTCATTAGCAAATAAAATTTAAATTGCTGGTGTTGATTTAACAGTACAAAAGATTTTTTTACATACGGTTCAGGACTGTACTGAGCGCCTCCGAAAAAGCCATGCCTGTCCGGTTGAGTGGTCACAGATGAACATATGGAGGTGGTATCAGCCTGTTCACTACGATCGCCACTTGCACTTTTTACGCTCTTTTGTAAAGACATTTTTACTAAATCACTCACTATGGACAGTTCAATAACATCACTGTGTACTACGAAACCTCATCAGGTGCCTCAACTAGTGAGTGGGCGAACGAATTAACTACAAAACATGTAACTGTTCCGGATATTCACTTGCTCACGCCCGAACACCATACAGTCAACAGTCCAACACATCATCGAAGAACCACACTATTAACATTTTACGATACCTTTTACAATGATATACCAGAAAATAAACTAGTCGCGCAATCGAATAAGATAAAATATGACTACAATTTTGCTCTCGAAATCAATAAAAACACTAAAATGTTTTGTAACACTATGTAACCGTGTGGGTGTGCGATTGCTAGAAAAATGGTGCCATAGACTATGCAAGTGACATAAGGTCATATCACATACGCGACAGACAGACGACGAAAATTGATTGCTTGATCGACTTTTTAGTCGACATAAATGTTTTTGTGCTAACTTTTGCTTTGCATGAGTTTGAATCTTCTGAGGAACTCGGCGTCAGAATGCTATTATATTTGTCTATACCATATCGGTCCGTTCCATAAGCTTGATGTTCCGCCGTTTATAGGTCCACCCATTTTGATTTAAGCTTTTAAAATTTCGCATCAGTATTGACACTTTAGAGGACTCTCGCAAGTAGCAATTACATTATGCTTAAGAGATAGATCATAAGTTATGGTCTACCTTATGTTCTCGAACGATAGATATTTATTAGTGCACCCGAATGCACCTTATTGTTTAAAACATCCTTTTTCACAAGATAATATCATAGAATAAGAACAAGTATGCTAAATCCATAATTATAAACGTAATCACGCCGTATGTGTACGCATACATTCGTATTTTCTAAGAGTGCATTTGCATTATGCTCAATTTGTCGACGGAACGGAATGGAAAAACAATAATAAATAAATAAATAACGCACACACTCAACATAGCCCCGCACTAGGGAAACCCTGAGTCGCGGGTGCCATGGACACACACATACACAACACAATCAAAATTCGAAATAATCACAGACATACATAGAAAGTGTGTCAGCAAGAAGGTTTTCCAACACTGCCTCTTACACGAGCAATCATAATTAAAATGTTTTTGTTTTTTAATCTTTATTTATTTAGGGGCTTTGATTGTTATTGAAGATGTCAGCCCCATTAATAAAACGGTACATCAAGAAAACAATAAAATCCACACAGATAAATCAAAATACTACCTGACTAAGGATCGTATTCTAGAACTCCACTCAATACTCAAGTCAGGACTTGAGTATTGCAGTGAGCACTGAAAATCATACTCAAGTCCTTGCCATTAGGGTCGTATTTCCAGTGCTTGAAATCATACTAAAATCTGCTCAAATCCTGACTTGAACATTGAGTGGAGTTCTGGAATACCACCCTAAATGTTTAGTATATATGTGTATACAAAATCTCCGCGGCATGCATGTTGGCTCCGACAAATAATTAAGTAATAGAAACATGGTGCGAGAGTACAAAATACAATAATAGTTCTGTAACCTAAAGTAAACCTAAAGATTTTACAAACAACTCATGCTTTGCCTTAGGCAAGACTTTTGTAAACACGTCTTCCTGCAACTCTGTTGAAGGCTTGTACTCTAAATAGACTACATTATCATCAAAACATTCTTGAATGAAAAGATTCATTCTCTACCATTTTGAGAGTGCTACTGTTGTCATTAAAAATTGTTATAGGTTCTGGTTGTGACAGGCTCCTGTATTTGAGTTTGAATAAAAAAAATTTCAAATTTGCCTCTTTTAGAAACTCTGAATATGACTTTCGATCAGCACAAAAGTGAAATCCTAGTAAAAGAACACGTGAACTAGTCGAACTATTGTGAGAACATTGCCCATAACCAATGTAAAGACAGGAGTCTTCTATCCCAGAAAATCTCGACAAAAATAAAACAACACAAGTTGCCGTTGATGACGAAAAACAATTTATTGATTCTTAAGTCGTCGTGACAAGAAACAGTTTAACAATCTTAAATCAAAGTTCGAAATAATCTCACACGCACTCGGACGCACTCGCCAGCACTTGCACGCTCTCTCACGCACACGGTCGCCTGCATTAGGGTCACTGAAAATCAGCGTCACAGCCTTTTGCCGGCGGTGACATTAGCTGAGTGGATCCTATTACATACGCCACAGCCGCACACATGATAACTACTTAGTACAACAATAGTGTTGAATAGCTTTATGGTCATTTAATCACTTATTACAAAGATTTTATTTTTAATTCATATTATTTAGTTTTTTTGTTATTCTATTTTCTGTTTGTTTTAATTTAGTTTGATTTAGTTTTAATTTAGCTTTGTTTTAATTTTATTTTTATTTTTTTTATTTCTTACTGTGTATTATTACACAGTTACACAGTTAGCCTCTGTCAGTACCTCACGTCCTACTGCATCTCTGCATGGGGTGGCTCCGCCAAGTCGCATCTTCTTAAGCTGGAACGCACTCAACGTGCGATACTCAAGGTGGGCTGGTGTCTCCTCTACAGATTCCCGACCTCTGACCTTTATAAAACCTGTAAGGTCCTCTCAGTACGACAGCTTTTTGTTCTACAAATAGCTTTGACCACGCACACTCTTATCCCCTATGACCCTAATAAACTGTATACTAAACGTACTGTTTGTCCCTCAGTTAGTGCTCCCACTAGCTAAAATAAAAATGACGTTGAGCTATCAACGTCATTTTTATTTTCTAGGAGGATATGTATATAATAAATTAAACAAAATCCTTAATATTCACCCATTGTGCAGAGCAGATTGTAAAACAGTTATTACTTATTGGCTGACCACTCTCGACTACCAGTCGACTGAAAACATACTTACTTTACTGAAATAGGTAGCAATAGGTAGCACACACACACGCACGCACACCAGCTTGCGCGCGCGCACTCACACACACACACACACACACACACACACACACACACACACACACACACACACACACGTATGCACGCACGCACGCACGCACACACCCACATACGCACACACACACACACATTTTTGCACTACATAGCCTATGCTTCATTTTGTAATTTATTTGTATTAATGTTTTAAGTTTATGTCACGTTTTCTTACACTAAGAGGGAGTGAGCCTGGTGATCTGTAACACAGGTATCCAACCTAGTACAGACTCCAGCTGTCACTAAGGCAATTGATTTTTTTTTTTAATTTTTTTTTGTAATTAATAATTGTATCTTTAATGTATTCATACACTGTAACTATAACCTTATTCAGAGAAATACAGCATATTGTATTGTATTATTGTATTGTGGCGTTATGTAATAAATGTATTCTATTCTGTTCTGTTCATTTCCATTTCGCTGGTAAAAATCTACATGTTAATGCATCTGTTCATCCATGTGTATAGCATCCTTCCAAACAAACATTATTATTACATAATCTATAATTGGAATGTGTTGAGTAAAAATTTGTAGACATCAATCAAAAGAGAGTCGTAAAAGAAATGCACTCTATAAATGGGAGCGATTATTTTTCCAAATTCTTATTATTTTAATTATATATGTGGAATACCCTAAGGCTCAACTCACACTGGCGCAGAGTCGAATCGTCGAGTCGCGCCCTGTTTTTCAATTACACCGCCTGGCGATGCGACGTCGCGCGACGACGCTCTCATTAATGCGCAGGGATCACAATGTGGTCGGCTTTTGACGCCTCACAGCGCTCGATTCGATTGTTCGATTTCATATTTGCAAAACACAAATTTGTTCGGACAACAGCACGTCAGACTCCACATTTTTGTTCGGAAATCGCCTCCAGTGCAACGGAACAAGATAGTGCTGTTGACTGTACATTAATAATGGGAAAATATAGATGAATATGCTATAGGCGAAAAACAAGACGCGTTGCGACGCTTCGACTCTGCGCTATTGTTAGTTGAGCCTAAGCCAGAGTGTAATTTTTAAGTTTTTTAGCTAAAATTGGCAAACACGTATTATTATGTACTGACGAACTATTTAAACAAAATTCATTTATTGACGCAATGTTTACAATAATACAGATATTATAATAATAGTCAAATATCTATAATAATTAAATATTATCCAGTGTAAACATTCCGTCAACAAATATGGCGTTTATAAAGAGTGTTGGAGAAAAAAAATTATACTACGACAGGTTGTGTAAACACGTTGTATAGTGTTTAGTGTCTAAACAGCGTTGCCAATTTGTGGGGAATTCCCCAAATAGCGGGGAATTTCAACTAGATTGGGGATTTTGTGGAGATTGGTCGGTACGTGTTGAGTTCGCGATTCTTTTTCGCACTTAGGCCGTTCCGCGTTATGAAGAAAAACGAAATCAGCTATTGATAAACAAAGCAGATTGATTTTTCTAACATTAACCATAGTGTCACCAAATGCGCAACAAATAATTAAGTTACTTAATTTTGTAAGGCAACGTAATTTTTTTTTTTTCAAAGTTTGATTATAATAATATAATAATAATAATAACAATTATAATAAATCATTTATTTCTACCAACATGGACCATAACATTACAAAGATTTAATACAATTTAACTCAAAAATAAAATTTAGTAGGTACAGAATTAAAATTAATGTTGAATCTCATTAAAATAAATAAACGATTTAATACATCTAATTTTATAATTTGTTTCTCGTTTTACATTCTGTTTACATTCACAGCAAACGTGATAGATGGTTACATTTGAGTTTCCTAATTCTTTTTTATATTTTTAAGCAATGTATTTGTAATAAATAATCAAAACTCGAGATGTGGGGAATTTGTGGGGAATATGAACTTTGCTCTGCCCAAATTTGGGGATTTTAACCGTGATTTTTGGGGACTTCGAACAATTGGCATTGGCAACGGTGCTAATAAAGCTTTCTTTTTAGGTTATGTTTCCAAATATTTTATGATACATTAAAATCAATAAACAGCTTTTGAGGGTGAGAAGTCATTCATAATGAATTCCCTAAGAAGAATATGGGCCGTACCACTGTGCACACGGTTCAGTTCATCAACTCCGCCCGATTTTGTGAATAGAAACCCTAGGAATCTGGAACGTATGAGAATTGCCAGAAAACCTGATGGTTATCACTTGGAGAAACCTGGCAGGAAGTTCTGGCATAAGTACGTATATTGTAAATTAAACTTTTCCATGAAAACATGGTTCACAATAGTCGTTTGGCAATTGCAATTCTATTCTTAGCAGCGCTTCTACGAGCACCTAATTTGAAGGCGCCAAACGTATGGTGTACCAGTATATTTTTTTTATATTCTTGTAATGTAGGCAATATCGCAATGAAGTTGCAAAGACATTATAGTCAAGAAATAGGAAAAAATTGAGCTAGTGTCAAATAATTTGATTTATTTTTTTACTGATTTACGTTTTCTTAAGGTAATTCGTGGTTTAGGGAATTTCAAATTAGTTAATTATTTTTAGAAAAGGTTATTTACTATTAATTTAAACATTACAGGCTATCTATAAAAGCGAGTCAACGCACTGTAACAGCAGAAGTAATTCACTATTTGAATGGTTCAGTGATAGAAGCAAAAACATCTGAGTGGTGTCTTCGTAAACACTTGTACAGCATCACAGATACTTGCGCCTATATTGCACTGGGCAAAGTATTCGCTCAAAGATGTCTAGAAAGTGGTATTACAGAAATGTATTGTGATATCAAACCTCTGCCAGGAGGAAAAGTAGAAATGTTTCTAAAACAAGTTGTAGATGGAGGGATCAAGTTAGAAGAACCAGAGGTGTACAAAAAGCCGAACCCATGGGATCAATTGCGGCCTGAAAAACCTTGGGAAGTTACCGAGTCGTAGTTAATGTGATTTTAGTACAAATGCAATAAATAGTTTAATTAATAAAGTTACAATACTAATGATTGTGCATATCTTCTTGTTATCAATGATTAATAATCCTACATACAAAAAAAAAATTGGTCACTGTTAAATTTTATAAATCAATTGATTTATAAAATTACAAGGAAAAATGGGCTCCTCATAAGTAAGATCATAGTTAGTACCTAATATCTTATATATCTTAATATTAAATTAATATCTTTCTAAATTGTGGATAATAAGATTGTAACCTCGTCGGAAATTAAGTCATTTCCAAACGAAATCAAATTACGATGAGAATTTCTAAACGAGCATATTTCCGCTTGTTGCTTTCCGTAGCATTTACTGTCCTTCTTAATTTAAATGTATTTATCTGAACATAATCGTCCAATACAATTACTTTCAATTATTATATAATATTTTAGAGATGTAAAATAGGAATTAACTTGCCGAATAACGAGGTCCTAGTAAAATTATTATAAAAGTTACCATTTTGATTCATTCTCGAAAATGGCGGAAACAATGATGGCGTCTGTTTCTTTCTTGTTGTGACGCAATAACATATAGTTATCTCTTTTTGACGCATGGAATAGTCTATAAGCAGTTGGGGCACGCGTAGTGATCAATATGTCCACGTGACCTGTCGTCAAGTCGCGACTGGCGTAATTGCAAGTGCAAAATGTCGAGAAACGTTGCTATACAATGAAATCATAAATATTTTTTTCGTTTATTCGTAGTGATATAGTTTTAACATGCCTGCTTCAATCGGTGTTAACTTGCGTGTCACTGGCCATTGTAGCCAAGGCGGGAGAAAGTACATGGAAGACTTGTTTTCCGTTGCCTATCAACAAACGGAAGATGAGAGGGATTTGGAGTACGCTTTCTTCGGGATTTACGATGGACATGGCGGGAGCGAAGCAGCAGCCTTCGCCAAAGAACATCTTATGGACTCTATTGTAAAGCAGCGGCAGTTTTGGTCGGACAACGACGAGGATGTATTAAAAGCAATCAGAAATGGTTACATGTTGACCCACTTGAACATGTGGAAAGAATTGGGTAAACACACATTTCCTCGTATAAACATAAGTTATTTGTATATTTGTGAAGTACTCTCCTATGATCTTGTACGTCCAAGGTGACTGAAGACGCGGTGATTGTAGTTTTTGCTTGACCTTGTTCTAACTTGCTTTTTTTCCTCTAATTATTTATTTGACATTGAATTTAGTGAAGGAATCTAATATCCTCTTTATTTTGTACTACTCTATTATAGTATACAACTTTCTCGTTGTAATTTTGGTTTAAAATTGGTGGATTCCTTTCTCTACCTTAAGTGAAAGCTGCAAGACCAGTTTCAGACATACAGACTCGAGTTTCCTCAAATTTTGTATAAAGGTCATTAGGAAAGAGTAAATGTTTATACATACTTATCAGTTATCTGTGTCTGGGAAGCCGTAATTCTCATGATGAGTTTATTAAATATTGTTGCACCTAGGTATTGTTTGATATGGAACTGTGTTCCATGAACATACTTATTAGGTAATTTTTGAACTCAATATTGGAGAATATCTAATTTCTGATGACTGCAAAAGTTAACTTGAAACTCCTATGTTGAGTTAGAAAGAAATAGAGTAAGTGCAAAGTCCCAAGTTCACACTACAGGTTGTGCTAATAAATATATTTTTGCAAAGTTATTTAATGCTTATTGATATACAATGTGCTGATTTACTTTCTCGCCATATTTACAGAGGTCATTCTAAATCCGAAACTGAACCCAAATGACTAAAAAAGAAAATTTAAAAAAATTTCGTAAATTCCCATTTTTTATTTAATTCCGGTAAACAAATTTGATTCAAAGGTCATTGACTTGCAAGGCACTTTCAAACATTTTGAACAATGACCTTAAATGCACAGGAAGAAACATATTTTAGAACTATTTGGTGGTGGGGTGCGGGTAGCGACGACAGGGGATTGTCGTATCGAGCGCGCGATTGGTAGATCAGTCGACAGACCTTGCTTCCCAAAACTGCATCTACATCACGCTGATATCCCACATACATTCTTTTCTACTCTGTCACGAAATGCCATGTGATTTGATGTGCAAACAAGACTAAGTAGTGCAAAAAAGAACTGCTATCAGGTTCACCAGAACCTGCATGGTAATCGCAAGTACAAGTGTGTGTCTATTCTTGAGGCATGATATGAAACGTTTAGTTTTTGTGGAGGTTATGAGTGTCGAAGTTTCAAAGTTGTGGAGTCTAATGTTGAAACTCATGTGCGAATCTCTGCATAGCTGGTGGTGGCTCCAGTACGGAGTCAGCCACCAGCTGTGTAGCTAAGTACTTCTAGCTATACTTTCATGTAAACTAAATTTGGTAAGTACCAAATGTAAGTTACAAAAAACATTTTTCATTCAACTTTTCTAGTGATCAAGAAAGATTACGTGTCGCTCGGTGAAGTGGGTGGCGGGGTCACTGCACTTGCGTGGTACATACGACTTCAGACATTTTGCAAAACTTTGCTAAATACAATTAACCCGAATATTGGACAGAATAATGTTTTAAATATTTTAGACGATTTAGCATTATTTCTATTATTAATTTCTTAAATACGGCGAGGATGCAAAATCAACACACTGTATAATTTTTAACCTTTATAAAAAATTTATTACATACCTAATTCATTTTTTTTTAATACTACTGACACAAAAGCACACAGAATAATATAGGATCTATGTAATATTGAAGTTCTTCTCCAGAAAAATGGCCAAAGACTGTGACAGGTCTGCCAAGCACAGCAGGCACAACTGCCAGTATAGCTTTCATTCGAAGAGGAAAGATTTACATTGGCCATGTCGGAGACTCTGCAATTGTGCTGGGATATCAGAAAGAAGGTATGTTATGATTCATTTCAGCATTTTTATTAGGAACCTAATGAATAAAGGAGTGTTCTTGATCACAATAGATCGACTGATGGTCGCAGTGATGAGGGGCTACATATGCCCCGAATGAAGCCACCCTAATAATAATAATAAAGGAGTGCTGAACAGGAATTGACAGAGTTGTGGCAGTCACCAGATGTTCCAATGTCACACCCTCTTTTGACATTCGGGTACATCTAAGTACACTCAAAGAAATTATGAAATAGTATAAGATAGCATAAAGACGCTCATACCATTTGCAATATAATCCAAAATCTACCAAGCAACAATTCAATCCTTTCTTCCTTACACCATCATGGTACACATGTGAACACGATGTGATATTTTGGAATTGAAGACCAAGGTCTGCTTAGTATCATTATTGGTGATGAACCATTCTTATCAGCAGACTATTGATGATATCAAAAATTATGCTAAACAATAACCAAAGTAAGGTTACATTTGCGTAATTGATTTTTGAACTTTATTTCAGGTTGCGAAGAATGGGCAGCAAAACCCTTAACATCAGATCACAAACCTGAATCCACATTGGAAATAGAACGTATTCAACGTTGTGGGGGCAAAGTGGTCTCCAAAGCTGGTGTACCTAGAGTTGTATGGAATAGACCACGCATAGGTCACAAAGGGCCCATAAAGAAGAACACACCTATGGATGAAATACCATTCCTGGCAGTGGCCCGATCTTTGGGCGACTTGTGGAGTTATAATCCTCAAAATGATGAGTTCATAGTTAGTCCAGACCCAGATGTAGGTGTCTTGACTATAGACCCATCTAAATTTAGGTAAATATTTTGAAAAATACTAGAAACATTCTCATTAAAAACTACAGACCACATTCGGAGTATTTTCACATGTGTCGACTTCTTTTACTAAAGTTGCTCACTCAGTTTCATAAAAAAGAAAATAATTTTTTTATTGTGTTGGTGAACAAAATTGACGCTAGATATTGCCTTAACAATTGTAAATACATAACATTATTACACCGGTCTTTGTCATGCCCAAAGAATGTTGATGATGATGTGTGCAAGTGTGGAAAACTACCTGATATAACACCTACACTAAGTACCTGTCAAGTGTATGTAGCACTTACCCAGTATGACTTAGGATCTCCACTAGTTCTTAGTTGGTTTTGTCTTTTAAATATTGTTGATTTTGTTTGAAAAACAGTTGTTGATGTATTGATGTTTTTCGTTCTAGGTGTCTAATATTTGGGACAGATGGATTATGGAACATGATATCGCCGGAAGGCGCAGTGAGTCTTGTGCAAGCCACGGAGCGTCATAACGAAGCTGCCCTTGTTGGTGGCAGTGGGAACCAGCCTCGGGATTGGCTTAATCCTTCCAAGAGTTTAGTGGACCATGCTTTGGAGAGGTAAGAATGGTGATTAAGAAAATTAATATTGAATTTATATTGATTTTGTTCTGGGCTTGCGGTTATTTTTCTAATGTAAAAATAAAATTAACTATTCCAGATGGTCTAACACTAGAATGCGCGCCGACAACACGTCAGTTGTGACATTGATGCTGGATCCGCCAGGTCCTCCGCGTGCTACTGTGCTTCGATCGCGAACAACGCAAAAGCCTCAGTCCTCAGTCCCGGTTGGGCCACTTGCTGGACCCGGCCAAACCCACCAACAAAAACCAGAGGAAAAAACAGAAACTCACACCGAATCAAGCAGTAATCAAGTTCCACAGAATGGTCTCACTATAATGACTAGGTATTCCGACGTCGACAAGCCAGCCACGTCGCCGGACTTGCCGGAGCGGACGCCCCTGCCGCCGTGCGCTACCCTCGACGGGCGTTTCTCGCTCGGACCCCAAGACGAACCCCAGAAGGAAGACGAGGACGCCGACGCTATAACGAACTACGGCAACCCTGCCGAGTCATACTTCATGGCGCGACTGCTCAATCGGACTCGAGTTGTGAACACCCTTTGCGACGTGTACGATGAGATCGTAAACGGACGATCGCCGAAAGCGGCATCGGAGCCGCGCGAGACGACCCCCGAAGCGACCGCGCTACCCGAGGTCAGCGACGCGCCGCGGCAACGCAGTCCCGAGAAGGAGGTGGTACCGGCCGATGGCACCGGCGGCACCGACGTCAAAGATGCGCCTCAGCGCCGCGACAAGGACGACGTCGGCATTCAGATCAACGAAGTGTCGTCGAGCTCGCCCACGGAGGGCCCGCCGCGCGTTAAGGGTCGCCGGCCCAAGGCGGAGCCGCGCCGCGACGCGCCCGCGCCCAACGACAGGGTGCTGCGCTCGCACCACGAGCC